ATTGGCCATTGAAATTTGTGATTGAAATTCTGCAGCGACGGAGCAATTATTGGTAATTCGATTCAGCGCATGAATAAGTTTTGGTTGAATATCTCAAAATCCATCAGAGATAGTGAAATTTTTTATTCGACCTTTTCCGCAGATCTCATTTCCCTCTGCAAAAAAGGTCCTGAGAAAAATTGGGTTATCTCTTTTAGATTCAGAGATATTGATGAATTCAACTATGAAACGTGTTGACTTTTTACCCTTTCACTTTGTGCTACTGAATTACTCGCGAAATGAATTCTTGGCAGTTGAAAAATACGACAACGTTATTTCCTTGTCATGTTATTCGACTTGTTGTGGATTACGTAAGAGTCGGCATTATTTTGGAGATGGAGAATCATTAATTGACGGTTTCCTCTCCGCCTGTCCCAGTGGTGCCGTTCCTTCCTCGCACTCTGGCATTTTTCCAACGTTTTTCTCACGTCCGAGAGATACTTGCGTCAATCCCAACGAAACCAGAATTCTAGAGGAATAAAAATCGCTTCTATATATTTATCTCGTTCTGAGATTAAATAATGTGCGCAACCGCATTTATTCAATAAATGCGACCATGTATTCGCTGGGTAAATTCAGTAGTGAAACGGTAAAACGATTTAGGTCGACTTGGATGTTAATTCGAGGAATATCTCCGAATCTGGAGGAGCTATGCAATTTTAGGCAGTCTTTCTTTGATTTTATTGGATTGACGTCTATAAAAAAGTTATTATAGGAATTTTGCTATCTTGTTTAAGTTCCGGGATATTAATTGAAAACTGGCGAGTTGTCAAGATTCATTTAGTGTTTGCTGCTTCAGTACTGAATTTGGTCTTGTCCCTGGATAAATTTCGGTCATTGGGTTAATAAATTGGTCTGGTGAGGAGCGACAGAGCGACATAAAACGAATGATGGGGAATTACTGTACACGCCTCCGGCATTTCCCGGAATATTAAGGCAGTACTATTAAAACTCCCCTTTGAAGCTTAAAGAATAATATTTTGTTTTAATGGAAATCCACATGCGGAGAAAAATTCAATAAAAATTACGTGGGGGTTCCGCAATCCCCGAGAAATCATTTCACTGAATAAGTTCTACATGAAAAGGAATTTTGATAAAATTCTGGTTGTGCAGCGGCTAAATAATTATTATTCTATAACAATTCTCCTCAAATACCGGAAATTGCAGAAGTGAAAAACCGAGAAAAATCTGCATTTTTCATTGAGAGAAATTTTCGAAAATATCTGTGAAAATTTAAAATGATTGCTTACGATTTTTCAATCCCATTTTAATGAGAAATGAGAAAATCATGTTACTCGGGAATTTCCCATAAAAATTGTCGGAAGCGTGAGTTTGCCCAGCGGAATCCAGAGCTCTCGCGTAATTTTCATTGAATTTCCTCCGTACGATAAAAGCAAAACAACATAAAGGAATCTAAATACGTCAGGGTCCACACAAGCTGGTCTGAAAATAGCGAAAAGAGGAAAAATAGATATATCGAGGTAAAAATCAATGGAACCCCCAGATCGACTGAAACCACCCCCTCATCCCCAAAACAAACGAAAACATAAAGTAACCGTATGAAACCACAAAAGAAAAAAGGTAACGAAGGTTGGACTGTAAAAATCCCCTCAGATAAGGTTGCCCCTTGCAGAATCCATCCCGCATCGTTCCCCCACTCCCCTAAATTTTTGAAGGTCAAGGTTTTCCACCCCTGGCAGTGGCTCCAGGGTGGGAGAAAAACCGAGTCAAATACAGGGGGTGTACACACACACACAGAGGAAATTTTGCGAGCGTAGGCGGGTAAACCAAATCGGTGAGGGGGTGAATTGGGTGGTGGGTGGTGGGTGGCGAGGGCCCCCGGTGCCCAGTATTTATAGAGCCCAGCCGACCGCTCGATAACCGGATAGCGTCACTGCGCAGTTGATAAAACCCCCTGTGCGCAATTCTCCCCATTTCACCCTCTCAACCCCCAGCCCCTAGCGCATGCATACGGTATATTACATTTTTGCCAATCCCTCCCCTTGATATTCACCGATTCTTCAATCAAAAGTTAAAAAAACAATGAAAATAGCTTATGGAATTTTTAATATCATTTAAAAAATCTCGAACGAATGGAATAAATTGTTAATGGATTAATCAGTTCTATTCTAATCGTTGAGTAATGTCTTCGGTTTATTCGTAGATGAGGGTGTTTTCGGGAGGTTGAGATTATCATAGTATTCAAGTGATAAAAATCCATGAAATATTGATAGTGAGTCACGTGCAATAACGAATTAAGAGGATGGTGGGAGTAAGTGCATTAGGTCTGAGGCCATGGCAGCAGTTGAGGATGAGGTGCGCGTGCTCGTCCGCCCAGAGGGTGAGGGGCAAATGCGTAGGTGAGCGAATAACTAGATATTGGGGTGGGGATAGGACTGGGTACCGAGGAAAGGACTCACAGAGGCTCTCGAGGCAGCTGTGAACCTCCCTCGGTGTCGTCTCGTTTCAGTTCTGGTTAATATTTTTTGAAGAATTTTTTTTTCCTGGCCAAATGTTGGGAGAGAATTTTACGCCGTTACCTCGAGATTTCGGCTTTTTAATTCGGTACCAGAAGAGATAAGCTGAGAGATGGCTGGAAATAGGTGAGTGAGGGTTCTGCTCCGTGGCCAAAATCCAAGGTCATTGTCGCGACATATGGCTGCCCCCGGATGCCATGTAGACCAGTACCTCAGTATTCCGATGATATTGGAGATGTCCATTGGACAGACTAATTATTATTCCATCGGAATGCGGGGGCGAGAACAAGTTTATCCTTTTGCATTCAATTCTTTCATGAAATTCAATCGTAAATGACAGCAGCTGTGTAATTTTTTATATTTCTGTTATAATCCCATTCATTTCTTCCATTCACCATCTTCCATGATCAATTGAGTAATCATTATCAATTTCAAATCATCGAATGAATGCAATCACTGATGTCGGATTTTTAATCCTGTTTTTTTTTTTTATTTACAGTCAGTCGGCTGCACTGCGAGTCCGAGTCCTTCAAGATGGACCTCATCCTGGACATCAACAGCTGGTTATACCCGATGGAGCTCGGTGAGTCAAATTTTTATCATTAAATAATTGATTAGATTAATAGAATCAAGGAATAAAATAGTTTCACCGTATCGCCATGTTTGTTTACATCGGACTGTCACCATTTACATTACGGAAATGGTAGAATCGATAAGACTCAGCCAACTTGGCCGGTTCTTGCAGACATCGTGACACGCGATTAGAACTCGGTATAAACAAACCCGTGACTAAATTCCCCCGGGTGAAAAATTAAAACCCCGTAATTTTTTTTTATTTTTCCTTGTATCCGATGTAAGGAGGTTTAGTCGTTCAAGGTCAGCCAGCCCAAGTGCACGATCATGTGATGCAGTGACACATGGAAATTCTTTCACGGCAAATAGTCCCTCATCTCAAATTCTCATCTAATTTTCTGGAACAGGTGCCACCTCTCGCAACCCCCCTTTCTCCCCTTGCATCAGGATTCTTGTTCTCCCGGGTTGTCCCCCCCACCCCCTTCCCCCGTCGACCCAGTTTCTTCCCTCATCTCTTCCCTTGTCTCTTCATTCATACAGATGGCCGGTATCAGCTCGACCAAGACCACAATAAAAATATTCCTGAACACAATCGGTCAATTAAAAATCACAAATTCACGAATTCCCAATTGTAATTATTATTTCCAATTATATGTCCAAATCTAATCCAGATATCGAAATTTCGGTGTTAACACTTTTGACAGCTTTCAATGATCTCCACAAAAATCATCATGATTAAATTGTTGATATTAGTCATTGTTTCTGGGATATCGATGGAAAATGGAATGAGGAGGCAAAACGAGGAGTCGCGAGGGTTCTATGGTTTCCCTGAATTGAATTTTCACGTCCAAAAGTCGAGAATAAAGAGAATCCATTGTCTTATCGAGGCCCCCTTTTTCCCCCCCTCCCCCCTGGAACCTCCTCCCAGTGGGCGAAGGTTATGGAGTCGGTGGGCTAGGCCGCTGTATTGACGCGTGGCGGGTTTCAGGCTTGCGCGAGATGACGCAACCCTTTGCCCCCTCCATCTATCCGCATTGGCCACCATTTCACCCCACCCTGCTCCCCCTCTATTTCACCAGGTCTATCTCACTCTAGAACTCTCCCCCACCGTGCTCTAACCATTCCGTACCCGCTTGCGTCTCTTCAATCCCCCCTTTACGGACAAGTTCAATGCCAAGGTCAAAGCTGGCACGACTAGCTGCTGTGTTAGTTGGCGGGACTTGCTCCGGGCCAACCGAGAAAACTCGTTCGCTTTGCTTTCAACATCGTAATAATGTGAGTCTACCCAAGTGTTACTTCATCCCTCATTCAATAACTCGCCCGTATATCACCTGTACCTCATCTGCCTCCTCTCTGTCCTTCCTCTTCACCCCCTTCGTCCCATCATCCCCATTCTCTCCCTCATGATCGCGAAAAAAAAAATCCTGTCATCAGGCTCAATCTTCACTGGCCCAATGTCGGATCAATTGATTCGATCAGAGTGAAATGAAAATCGTGTTTTACCCCCGTTTTGTGTGCACATGAGACTAAAGTTGATTACCAGTGATATGCATCAATGCATGGGTGGTTTTTTTTTTATTGCACTTTATTTCACCCCGGGGTGGGGGGGGGGCGGTTTTAGTGCTCCGATTGGGCGGAAAAATGGGAGAACACGGGAATGTTTGGGTCGGTTGATTTTTTTCACTCCGGGGGAGAGAAAAAAGATAATAAAAAGTGCGCGGTTATCAGCGAGAGGGGAAGGGGCGGGGGCGGGGGTAAAGGAAATGGTAACCTGTGACACAGAAGCCTCTGATGGCACCGGGAGGGGTAAATGGGTGGACGGATGGTGGGATTGAGGAATTGAGGGGCGTATGAGGTGGTGAGGAAGAGGGTGGTATCAAAGGGGGCCAGGAGAACGGGGTATGAGGTGGTGTGGTTACCAAGGTCGTACCGTCCTTTAAATCGAATGTTGGTACAGTGGACGATCGATAGCTCGATGTAGTCGCTCACGTTCGGGCAATTTCGGTCCAGACGCGGGATCGTGCCGTGAGTGAGAGCAGGATGCCATCCTCGAGGTGAAGGTGAAGAGCGAATCACTGGTATGGAAGTGGGGATAAACGTGAGGCCGGCGACGACGCACGGGTACCATCAAACTGCGTCGTATGTGCTCTGGCTAATTTCGAGATTCACATGTACCAACGGTACGAATTCTCATGTCCGACAATTTCGAGGATTATTTTACCATTTTTTTTTTATTCTCCTTGCGCTCGTTTTTTTTTTTCACCAGGGGTGGCCTTTTATCGGGTTGGGATTTGCTCTCTGGGATTTTTCACGGTATTCAGCAGTGGCTTTGACGCCGTTTTGACCGGAGGGGGACATGATGAAATCAACCGTCTGATTTTCCGTGTAACTCAATCAAACGAGCCGCCATTTTGGGTCGACAGGGGCAACTGCGTAATTCGTCGGTACTCATCCGAGAATCATGGCAAGACACGATCGATCCTCTCCCACCGAGAAGCAATTAGCCATGACGTAGATGAGGAAATGTCGTTGGGGGATTGGGGGGAGGGTATGGATATCGTTGATGATGAAGAATGGTCATTAATTGGAAGAATATCTGCACTGGGCATTTGTCATTTTGCAAAGTCATCGGGAATATTTAAACACTAAATTCCGTTGGTTATTTATAAATTGTTGCGTCATGAATTTGCAAATTGCGAGTCAGTGGATTTAGATCGAGATTCGTAAGAGGCTGTTTTCTTGTTATTGGTGGAGCTTGGTTGAGAGGAACCAATTTCGCTGGTGATTGTTTGTGCTTTTTTTATCGTGACGATAATCACCTGAAATTGCATCGAGCATGTCGTGAATTCTCATGTAATTGTGTGATTTCTCAATTAAAACACGCGGAAATTTAATTGAAACGGGAATTGGAGGAAAATTCTGATGGTTTTGGATGGGAATTTTGGGCTTTATTTTTCTTGCAAGATCTATTCGAAAATGGTCATTCCACCTCGGAGGTGCATACATGACAGGAGAAATTGACATTGCTGTCATCTACTGTGGCGTAATAAATTATTATTCTAATTATTATCATGACGGTTTCGAGGGGTTGTTGGGAAATTGAGGAAAAATATGAGCGGTGGATATTTTGTTGTTTTTTTTTAATCTATTTTGACAGATGGTTTTCACTTTTTTCAGGTGACAAATTTCGCCTCGTCCTTGCTACCACCTTGAGAGAGGATGGCTATCCAGATGGTGGGGATTGGAATGCTATTGAACAAGAGGGTGGATCACGTGCTGACAGCTTTGAGTATGTCATGTCTGGGAAGGTGTACCGAATCGAGGGAGACGAGGCAAGCAACGAACCGAGCACTAGGCTGTGAGTAAATATTCATTGTTTTTAGAACAGATGCAATGTCTATTTTTCTCGCGTGGAGGAGAAGTTGTGTGAATTATTTTCCCAAGAGTCCCCTCAGTCACCTAAACTTTCTACTTTATGTATCACGATGGAAATGTATCGGGTCTCGAACAAGTCCAAAATTTCATTCATATCGACAGCTTAATAACAAATTCCGACAGTTAGTGGAAATAAATTTATTTAAATGAATATGGATAAAAAGATTCAAACTTTATTTTTGAGTTAATAGCATTTTTTGTAATTACTCTGTTTTATTATTACCACCACCTGCAGCAAATGATAAACTATCAATTTTTTTATGAATTAACATTTCGTAGATTTGTTATTAACTCATCGATATGGAGATATATACTTGATTTTGCTGGTGAGATGCGATCTTGAATTCAGTAGCGAAGAGTCAAAGAATTAATTTATAATTCACTGGTTGTCTACTCGAGTTTTTGAGTGTATGATGAATATCTCAGAATTTAGACGAGATTCAAATATTTTGCTGAGAGCATGATTTCTACAGTTAAACGAGAGCTGTAAAAAATGCAATTACAAATATTTTGCTGTTTCCTTCGGACTCCGAGATATATCTCGAAAACTCATCTATTATCTAAATTCACTTGTCATCCTTCACCTCTTCGCTACTCAATTCTTCTAGTTTTTCATTACTTAATTGGCAATGCAAAATAGCTCGCATATTTTTTATTCCCCCTTACGTTTTCATAATCTTCTTCCTCCACGCCTCAACGTTGCGGATAAAGTTTCGATAGGCCTCATTGCAAACCAATTTACCTCGCTCTGTGCCAATGCATTACTGGAGGCGTGAGACATTTGTTTTTTTTTTTTCTCCTCTCGAATGTATGTCATGAAAGACGGAATCAATACGCAGTATAGATTTTCCAATGCAAGTCGCGGCAATTATTCGACTTGGAAAAAAGTTCTTTCGAATCCAATCTAGTCGTATGCAATTCGAATCGAGGGAAAGTTGAGTATTCCGAGGACGAAATTATATTTTCGATTCGGTGAAAATTGGAGGAATACTTCTGCGTCTCAGGGGACCAAACAGTGAGAAATATTTCGGTGGTTTATACGTATTCTCATGTTTCCGATAAGTCTGTCGTGATTCATGACTGATTTTCATTCGGAGATGAGAAATCGGATGACTTGCCTGTGGTAATGAAGGAGATTATTTAAATTGTTGGTGAACACGTGAGGAGAAAAAAATTAAGTGAAATACACTGGTTGGAATTTATTAAGATTATCTACTAGCTGCAGCTCCTCTATCAGATCCCCATTTATTCAGATCCATTGAAAGGAGGACTTCCTCCAGGTCCTCCATTTTTATTAACTTTTGTCTTTTGATCTATAAGGATTAAATTGTTAATGTTATGCAGTAATTCTATCGAACCTCCAGTCGATTTTGCCCTTGAATTATTATTAATGTTTATTCGTTCAATGGTAATTTTTAAAATTCATTTTAAGAATCAGTGGTTGGGGATTTTTTTGGCTGTAGCTAGTAAATTGTCTTAAAATCCAAATATTTCTCCGTATGTATTCCTGATGGGAATTCAATTGGAGAGGAAATTGTTCGTCGAATTTGAGCTTGTCAGGTTCAGGATTGGCTAGTAATATCATTTTTTTGGAATATCAGGCAATATCAGGAAAAGGCATTCAGTAACATGACAATAATATTTTGAGCGAATTGTCGGAAGATCATTAGTTATCTGTGGTATTGAATAATTGAACTGAGAATATTACTGATTAGTCTCGTAAAGGAATTTGTGAATACTCAATTACGGGGAAAAATTATTGACTCTAGAATCGATTATCTGTTCATCATTTGTGCGGTAATGTTTCTATTGATCACGCGACTATTTTTGTTCAGCTTCAGAGATCGATAATTTCAATGAAAGTTTGAATATTTCAACTCATTGCAAAAATTGGATATCACATTCAATTGAATTTCCAATTGACCGAGAATTCAAAAGAGCAATTGTGTATTTTTTCACAATTGCGTAGTTAATTACTGCAGCAATTTTCATTGAGAAATCCAGCGGTAAAACAAATATTCGACTCAACCATTCGTTAATAGTTACCGAATATCGTTTGAAGTGATTAATTTTATTGAAGAACATTGGAAAATTGAAATAGCCAATGCCACTGAAAATTTAATGAAAAAAAAATCTAATGGCCGTGACAAATTTCGAAAATGTTTATCAAAAATTTCGATTTGCTAAAAGCGTAATGTCTTTATTACCGATCCTCGGTTGAGTCAAGTTTCGTCTTCAGATGTGACAGAATTCGTGGCTCTTCGGTTTATTTTTGAAGGAAGAAACCGATTCAACGTACACGAGCCCCTTCATTCGTGGTAATTATGCAAATGTTCTGTTAGAGCTCAGGATAATTCAGTAGTTGATGACCTGAAAGCTACTCGACGAATAATTGCCAATGGTGGGAAATCCGAGTGAATTATTGCGCAGAATAATTGACAGTACAAGTGAAATATTATGAGAAGGAGAAACATCATCGAGGAGTTGGTGAGGGTGGAGAACTGACGAAGGATGAATAACAGGTGTTTTAGCTCTTGTAGAACAGGGAGCCACTCTGGGTTCACTCTGTTGATAAAGAAGCGAGTGAACACAGCTGGTGGTATCTCAGTTTTCTGAGAGTTTTATCGACGTATGTCCGTTTGTACCGGCGGAATCTTATCGACGATAAGTGATTAAATCAGGATCAAGATTACACCCATTGTACAATCTATTGATGATTAACGCTATGACTATGGAGTGACTTTGGATTGATTTTCACGTGGAATTTGAGACTGGAAATTTCTGCAGATGACGATGGCTATCTAGAAATCGCGTGGAGGGACTTCAAATGATGGATATAACTACAAACTGTCACTGGAATCATGTATTTAGGAATAATCTAGTTAGTAGCGAAGAGGGGAAGAAATAACAAGTGCAGTTGGGCTCTAGGCGAGTTTTTGAAGAATATTTATGAATCCGTGGGAGATATCAAAATTTTTATCAGAACTTATTCGGTACAGCGAAAAAGGTTTCAACACAAATTTCTCCGTCTCTCTTGGATTCAGAGATATTCAACTTGTTATTTTTTATCTCCCCTCTACTGCATCCAGTTATCATTAATTGTTTCATAAATTTGTTCATGTCATGTTTCATATTTGTAATCATTGAATATTAAAATACTCTGCAATCAGTTCATAATCATTCACTTTTTTTCATCTCCATTCCATCTATTCATCATTGGATGAGTAATTTTTTTGGATGTGAGGCTGCTGCTGCTGATGGTGGAAGTAATTTCAACTTTTAAAATTCAAGAATGGGGAAGCTGAAGAGCTTATGGTAAAGCAATTACTCTTATTTGTAATTGAATGGAGGGTAGAGAATTGGGAAGTAGTAGTTGTTTGGTTTGGTCAGGCAGCGGTGGATCGTAGAGAAATTCAAATTCATGAATTCAATTCTCCATCATCTTCATCTTCAAGGAATCAACATCTTGAACATCTCTCGTGAGGTTTCTTGGGAATCATCTTTGCTCTTCATTTTTTCTATCTTCATTCGTGTTAAAATTCTTCAACAGATATTCCCCATTCTTCGTACTTTGGACACTCGATATTCTTTGACGTTCATCAATTTATTCCGAATTCCAACGAATTCGTGAATTCTCCCCTTTTTCTTATGTAAAAATTTGGAATTCTCTCAAAATTTTTCGAAACTTTCGGATCTACACGAATCTTCTGAAGACATTCATGAAATCTCGTAAATTTATAATAATCTCGACATAAATGCTATTCAAGATTCAACAATCGATCCATTTTTTCGATTATTAATTATTGTTTTACGCATGAGCTTGAGAATTAAAGTCTCCATACATATTTAAAAACTGAATTAATTCAAAATTAATTTGAAAAATGGGAAAAAATTTAATAAAAATGAGTTGCCCAAAAATTTCAAGAAAAATTTCTCACGTTAAAAAAACCATTATCACTATAATTAAAACTTTTTAACTTTGGATTATTCATTATTTATTATTATTATTATTATTATCATTATTTGACCCAATAAAATAAAAGACATAGATAACTGAGACACGACTCAGAGGAATGCTTTTCAAAAATATATTTTCTCTCTCAGAGAATACCAATTCTTGGTTGAAATCTATGTTTTTTTTTCGTTGCATTTTGTTAAAAAAAAAATCGTCTCGTTCGCCTGCATCTAGATATGACCAAGATGCTCGTTATCAATTCGACCTTGCCTCCCAATAATTCCTCTGGGCATGACCCAGTTATCTTACCGTTCTAACCCGCTCACCTGGCCGACTGGGAGGGCTTTTCCTCCCACTCCCTGGGGTTTTAAAACCACCCGAAGGGGAAACTGGGAACATTGTGCGCCCATTGTAGATACCGAGGAAAGGTCAGGCATGGGGGGCCAAAACTAGGATACTCGGAGAGCCTGAAACTGGGTCATCCTGTTGCCCCAAGTGCAGCATCCAGTGCTCCGTGTCCGTCACCCTTTTCTCCTTTCGTCCTACCATCCCCCACTACTTTTCCATCCTGTTGCCGTCCTATTCACTTCTACATTAGTGCAATATCCAGACGCGATTGCAATGACACGCAGGACCAGTCTCTGGAGCTCCAGACTCATCATCAATTGGTTGAATCAACGATTCAATAAGGGAAAATGAGAAAAATCGGTGGGAAATTATAGAAAATCGTTGGAGCCTGTGATAATTTGGTTTTAACAATTTTTTTTTATAGTTAAAAAATAATGGGGAACATTCAGCGTAAATTTGCGAGTGCTCTCTACTGCCAACCCTCATTGGGTGACATTATTTACGGTAAAAAGAGTGCGTGGGATTGAGGGATAAATGAGTTTGCGCGAAAAGTGGCCCTGGCAGAGCGGGAGGAACGAGTGGTTCCTTTGACGTCACGGGAAACTCATGATGGCGGATAG